ATGTCTGCTACATTTAAATTGCAAAGCAGCATATGTTGGAGTAAAAAATATATATATATATATATATATAAGTTTTCCACATTATTTTGCTTTTAACTCAAAATCAGTTACATTTTACCCAAACCCATTGTGTCACTATTAGAACACTTCCTGTGATTTCTCAGCTCTTTCCTTTGGTTTGAGAGCAGCTTGCTAGTGTTGAAGAGGAAAAGAGAAATATGTTTTATTGGGCCCTTGCCAGGGGCCTTACCCATGCAATCTTAGATTATGTGTAAAACCCTAGGAAATGGGTAACACAGCCCCCATTTTGCAAATAAGGAAACTGAGGGTCAGAAAGATTAAAATACTTGCCCAAAGTCAGGTCAGCCCAATTTCAGAGCCCATCTGCCTACCCCATTCTTCACAAAACTCCATTACTGCATAACTATTTTATGATTGCTGTTAATGGAAAATGTCCAGATTTTTCTGGTCAGATCTGGGCACATTCTGAAGCTGAATTTAATAGTAAAAGTGTGTAGGTGCTTAGGAATAGAGAGGAAAATTCTGACCAATTTCAAAGGAAAAATAAATTTCATGTTTCAATCCTGAGATAATAGACTTTCATACAAATAGTTTACATAGCTTTTGTTTTAAAAAATTGAACTGGAATGTTTTCCAGCAGTGACAAAAAAGGAAATTACATAAACCACGCGTCCTCCGGGAACTCAACCAGGAAATAGATGTGTTCTTTGTCGGTTCCGTAGATGGTATTTCCAAGTAAAACGTCGCATCTACTCTGGCAAATTCATAATATTCTTTAAGTAATTATGGGCAGCCTAGATCTCTCTTATTTAATCTGGAGGTTCATCACTGCAAGTTCTAGAAGAAGTCACAGTCATCTGCTTGTGTTTACACAGGGTTTGTTCACAGGGGTGGGTGCAGGCCTGGGTCAGTGGATGTGGTGGCATTGTGTCTGAGACAGAAAGACACGCAGATACTTCAGTACATTCCTATGGCTTAAAGTCAATGAAGCCACAGCAGGGTAATTCCAAACAGTCTCTGAAGGTTTCACAGATTTTCCAGATCCCTCCTGTAAACCTTGCTTAGAATATTCAGAACTTCTTTGTCTCTGAGCCGGGAATACAGTGTCCTACAGCATTCCATTTCCTTAGTGACTGAAACTTACATGGCAATTTAAAAATCGTTAACTTTTTTTTTTAACATCTTTGTTGGGGTATAATTGCTTTACAATGGTGTGTTACTTACTGCTTTATAACAAAGTAAATCAACTATACATATACATATATCCCCATATCTCCTCCCTCTTGCATCTCCCTCCCACCCTCCCTATCCCACCCCTCTAGGAGGTCACAAGGCACGGAGCTGATCTCCCTGTGCTATGCAGCTGCTTCCCACTAGCTATGTATTTTACATTTGGTGGTGTATATATGTCCATGCCACTCTCTCACTTCTTCCCAGCTTAGCCTTCCTCCTCCCCGTGTTCTCAAGTCCATTTTCTACGTCTGCGACTTTATTCCTGTCCTGCCTCTAGGTTCTTCAGAACCTTTTTTTTTTTCTCAGATTCCATATATGTGTGTTAGCATACGCTATTTGTTTTTCTCTTTCTGACTTACTTCACTCTGTATGACAGACTCTAGGTCCATCCACCTCACTACAAATAACTCAATTTTGTTTCTTTTTATGGCTGAGTAATATTCCATTGTATATATGTGCCACATCTCCTTTATCCATTCACCTGTCGATGGACACTTAGGTTGCTTTTATATCCTGGCTATAGTAAATAGAGCTGCAGTGAACATTGTGGTACATGACTCTTTTTGAATTATGGTTTTCTCAGGGTATATGCCCAGTAGTGCGATTGCTGTGTTGTATGGTAGCTCTAATTTTAGGGTTTTTTTGTTTTGGTTTTTTGTATTTTTTTGCGGTACGCGGGCCTCTCACCGTTGTGGCCTCTCCCGTTGCGGAGCACAGGCTCCGGACGCGCAGGCTCAGCAGCCATGGCTCACGGGCCCAGCCACTCCGCGGCATGTGGGATCTTCCCGGACCGGGGCACGAACCCGTGTCCCCTGCATCGGTAGGCGGACTCCCAACCATTGCGCCACCAGGGAAGCCCTATTTTTAGTTTTTTAAGGAACCTCCATACTGTTCTCCAAAGTGCCTGTATCAATTTACATTCCCACCGACAGTGCAAAAGGGTTCCCTTTTCTCCACACCCTCTCCAGCATTTATTGTTTGTAGATTTTTTGATGATGGCCATTCTGACTGGTGTGAGGTAATAACTCATTGTAGTTTTGCTTTGCATTTCTCTAATGATTAGTGATGTTGAGCACTCTTTCATGTGTTTCTTGGCCATCTGTATATCTTCTCTGGAGAAGTGTCTATTTAGGTCTTCTGCCCATTTTTGGATTGGGTTGTTTGTTTTTCTGATATTGAGCTGCATGAGCTGTTCGTAAAATTTGGAGATTAATCCGTTGTCAGTTGCTTCATTTGCAAATATTTTCTCCCATTCTGAGGGTTGTCTTTTCATCTTGTTTATGGTTTCCTTTGCTGTGCAAAAGCTTTTAAGTTTTATTAGGTCCTGTTTGTTTATTTTTGTTTTTATTTCCATTTCTCTAGGAGGTGGGTCAAAAAGGATCTTGCTGTGATTTATGTCATAGAGTGTTGTGCCTATGTTTTCCTCTAAGAGTTTTATAGTGTCTGGCCTTACATTTCGGGCTTTAATCCTTTTTTTTTTTTTTTTCGGTACGCGGGCCTCTCACTGTTGTGGCCTCTCCTGTTGTGGAGCACAGGCTCCGGACGCAGAGGCTCAGCAGCCATGGCTCACGGGCCCAGCCGCTCCGCAGCACATCAGATCTTCCTGAACCGGGGCACAAACCCATGTCCCCTGCATCGGCAGGCGGACTCTCAACCACTGCGCCACCAGGGAAGCCCCCCCTTTAATCCATTTTTTTAAAAAAATTATTTATTTATTATTTATGGCTGTGTTGGGTCTTCATTTCTGTGCGAGGGCTTTCTCTAGTTGCAGCAAGTGGGGGCCACTCTTCATCACGGTGCGCAGGCCTCTCACTATCGCGTCCTCTCTTGTTGCGGAGCGCAGGCTCCAGACGCACAGGCTCAGTAGTTGTGGCTCACGGGCCTAGTTGCTCCGCGGCACGTGGGATCTTCCCGGACCGGGGCTCGAACCTGTGTCCCCTGCATCGGCAGGCAGATTCTCAACCACTGCACCACCAGGGAAGCCCTCCTTTTTGAGTTTTTTTTTTTTTTTTTGAGTTTAAACCTCCATTTTGAGTTTATTTTCATATATGGTGTTAGGAAGTGTTCTAATATCATTCTTTTACATGTAGCTGTTCAGTTTTCCCAGCACCACTTATTGAAGAGGCTGTCTTTTCTCCATAGTATATTCTTGCCTCCTTTATCGAAAATAAGGTGAACATATGTGCGTGAGTTTATCTCTGGGCTGGGCTTTCTATCCTGTTCCATTGATCTATATTTCTGTTTTTGTGCCAGTACCATACTGTCTTGATGACTGTAGTTTTGTAGTATTGTCTGAAGTCCAGGAGCCTGATTCCTCCAGCTCCATTTTTCTTTCTCAATATTGCTTTGGCTATTCGGTGCCTTTTGTGTTTTCATACAAATTGTGAAATTTTTTGTTTTAGTTCTGTGGAAAATGCCATTGGTAGTTTGATAGGGATTGCACTGAATCTGTAGATTGCTTTGGGTCATTTTCACAATGTTGATTCTTCCAATCCAAGAACGTGGTATATCTCTCCATCTGTTTGTATCATCTTTAACTTCTTTCATCAGTGTCTTATAGATTTCTGCATACAGGTCTTTTGTCTCCTTAGGTAGGTTTATTCCTAGGTATTTTATTCTATCTGTTGCAATGTTTCCTTAATTTCTCTTTCAAATTTTTCATCATTAGTGTGTAGGAATGAAAGAGATTTCTGTGCATTAATTATGTATCCTGCTACTTTACCAAATTCATTGATTAGCTCTAGTAGTTTTCTGGTAGCCTCTTTAGGATTCTCTATGTAAAGTATCATGTCATCTGCAAACAGTGACAGCTTTACTTCTTCTCTTCTGTTTGCTGTGGCTAACACTTCCAAAACTATGTTGAATAATAGTGGTGAGGGTGGACAACCTTGTCATGTTCCTGATCTTAGAGGAAATGGTTTCAGTTTTTCTCCATTGAGAACGATGTTGGCAGTGGGTTTGTCATATATGGCCTTTATTATGTTGAGGGAAGTTCCCTCTATGCCTACTTTCTGTAAGGTTTTTATTATAAATGGGTGTTGAATTTTGTCAAAAGCAAAAATCATTAACTTTGAATAGAACTCTTTATAAATTTCACAGTTCATTGGAACTTACGTACTGATTGTAACCTCTTTTTTGCTTAAGATGTGGTGTTACCTTTAAGAATATATATTTATATATACGTATGTGTGTTGTCTTCGAGCATAACAATAATAACAACAAATATTGAGCATTGCCATACTAAAAGCTTTACATACATTAGGCCCTTGAATTGGCAAAATAGCTTTGTGAAGTCAAGATTAACACCCCTATTTTGCAGACCAGGACACTGAGGCATGGGAGGTGAATATGTTAGTTGCAAATATATCTCAACAGCGAAGGAGAACTGCGATCAGAGCCAGTCAGTCCAGCTCTGAAGCCCTCCTATGGGTACAGGAGCCTTGATCAGAGCTTCAGAGTGAGGGCCTGAGGCTCAGACAGCACATGGGAGGACGCTTACTAGAGTGTTGTTAGACCTTCCTTCTCTTCCTCACATTCTGGCTTACACTCCAATCCAAAGTGGCTGCACTGACCGTGACCTGAACTGAGTGTCACCATCCATTTAAATATCTCCACAAGAACATCTGATTATTCCCAGACATGTAAGCTTCCTGTGCCTTGTATATTATTTCAGGAGAATGGTTGGGGATATCCTGTGGTGATGCATGACAGTAGGAAATTGAGAACAGTTAATATTTTTTTTGTAGGACCCGATATTTGTGGATTTGATGTCAAGAAAGTTCATGTTATTTTACATTTCAAGAATCAGTATCACTCAAACAAGAAATCAATCAGGTGTAAGGTAAATTCTTTCATATTCAAATCAGTGATCATGTTAACTCTTGCCAGATAATAACGTAAGTTTATAGAAAATAGTTTTGACCTTAAAATATTTAAGTGAACTATGGATGGGCCTTGTCTGTCCTGTCCCTGCTTTCCAGTTTAGCAGGCCTTTGATTGGTTTGGTTTCCAAAGTTTTTACCCACCGGGAGGGTACACTTCTCACTGTGAGCCATGACATTGATTTATAAAATGCCCCATAAGGGTTACAACAGGATGCGCACATTTCAGCTATACCCATCATCATTAAGGAATGAAATATTCAGGGTGAAAAAAGATTCTGGTGAAATTAATCTTCAAAATACCAAAACAATTTAAAATGGGAATATTTCTAAAATGAATGCATACATGCTTTACATTTTTACCCAGGGGATCCTGTGGAAATGACATTTTAGGTCTTAGGGCCTGTTTATAACTCAGTGGCCCTACCCGGGGCTTCTCCAAAGAGGCAGCTTGCATTAAGTCCCTGGTGTGTGGGCCTGTGAAGGGGAAGTACACTCCCTAAAGCTCATCCCCCCACACTTTGAAGGTAAGCACCAGGAAGCAGGGACCTGTCTCCTGAGGCATCCCCAGCACCCATACCCTCTGTGAATCTGGGCAGGAGGCCAGTGTATTTCAAGATCATTGACAGCAAGGAGCGGAAGCATCCGTAACTGTCCTTTATTCAGTCTCGACCTGAGCAGGGGGCGCTCGGCACCCTCACAAAGCCCCAGTGAGTCTCTGTTGGCAGCATGGTTTCACGCCGGGTCCTGCCTGCTGACTTGATGGTTCTAAAGGATCAGCAGGTCCCCCATGTACTCAGAGGCCTGACACCCCTCCCTTGAGTGTGGAGGGGAGCTCAAAATCCAGGTCTTCCTCCTCCACCTTAGTGTTGGACCAGAGGACCAGTCTTCATGATATGATTCCCGAGCATTTGTTCAGTTGCAGCTCAGGCATGCAGGAGAGAAAGGGGATGACACTACCAGATGGAGGCTGTGAGGTCTGTCCTGGACTGTGCCTGGGAGGCCAGAGCTCGGTCACCTGCGGGCAGCAAGCCTGCGGGGCCCTGAGTGGCGCTGGCAGGCCCACAACTCCCTCAGACAGGTATTGGTATTTCTGCAGCCTGTTAGAAAAATAAGAGACAAGTCTGCTGAAGGAGCCTTGGAGCCTTGGATCATGGCAGCTAGTCAGCATCACGGACTCCTCGGTGAGGAGCAAGGTTATCTTCTTGGGGCTCCGATTCACTCTGCAATGCTGTAAAAGAAACGCAGTGGTCAGCCCTCAAGGATTTTCAAGGAGGAGGTCTGGCCTGCATTGTTAAAAAAAATACCTCAGGAGATTGGTTCAAGATAGTGGAGTAGACGGATGTGCGCTCACTCCGTCTTGCGAGAACACTGGCATCACCACTAACTGCCGAACAATCATCGACAGGAAGACACTGGAACTCACCAAAAAAGATACACCACATCCAAAGACAAAGGAGAAGCCACAATGAGACGGTAGGAGGGCGGCAATCACAATAAAATCAAATCCCCTAACTGCTGGGTGGGCAACTCACAAACTGGAGAACAATTATTATACCACAGAAGTTCACCACTGGAGTGAAGGTTCTGAGCCCCATGTTAGACTTCCCAACCTGGGGGTCTGGCAACAGGAGGAGGAATCCTCAGAGAATCGGACTTTGAAAGCTAGTGGGATTTGATTGCAGGACTTCAACAAGACTGGGGGAAACAGAGACTCCACTCTTAGAGGGCACACACAAAGTCTTGTGTGCACCAGGACCCGGGGGAAGGAGCAGTGACCCCATAGGAGACTGAACCAGACCTACCTGCTAATGTTGATTGGTCTTCTGCAGAGGAGGGGGTGGGCGGCTGTGGCTCACTGCAGGGACAAGGACACTGGCAGCAGAAGTTATGGGAAGTACTCATTGGTGTGAGCCCTCCCGGGGTCCTCCATTAGCCCCACCAAAGAGCCTACTCAGGCCAAACAACCAACAGCGAGGGAACACAGCCCCACCCATCAGCAGACAAGTGGATTAAAGTTTTACTGAGATCTGCCCACCAGAGCAACACCCAGCTCTACCCATCACCAGTCCCTCCCATCAGGAAGCTTGCACGAGCCTCTTAGATAGCCTCAACCACCAGAGGGCAGACAGCAGACACAAGAAGAACTACAATCCTGCAGCCTGCCGAAGGAAAACCACCATCACAGAAAGATAGATGAAATGAAAATGCAGAGGATTATGTCCCAGATGAAGGAACAAGATAAAACCCCAGAAAAACAACTAAATTCCAGAAAAAGAATTCAGAATAATGATAGTGAAGATGATCCAGGACCTTTGAAAAAGAATGGAGGCAAGGATCGAGAAGATGCAAGAAATGTTTAACACAGAACTAGAAGAATTAAAGAACAAACAAAGATGAACAATACAATAAATGAAATGAAAAATACACCAGAAGGAATTGACAGCAGAATAACTGAGGGAGAAGAATGGATAAGTGACCTGGAAGACAGAATGGTGGAAATCACTGCTGCAGAATAGAATAAAGAAAAAAGAATAAAAGAAATGAAGACAGCCTAAGAGACTTCTGGAACAATGTTAAATGCACCAACATTCACATTATAGGGGTCCCAGAAGGAGGAGAGAGAGAGAAAGGACCCGAGAAAATATTTGAAGAGATTATAGTTGAAAACTGCCCTAACCTGGGAAAGGAAATAGCCACCCAAGTCCAGGAAGTGCAGAGTGTCCCAGGCAGGATAAACCCAAGGAGAAACACACTGAGACACATAGTAATCAAATTGACAAAAATTAAAGACAGAGAAAAATGATTAAAAGCAACAAGGGAAAAATGACAAATAACATACCAGGGAACTCCCATAAGGTTAACAGCTGATTTCTCAGCAGAAACTCTTCAAGCCAGAAGGGAGTGGCACGATATATTTAAAGTGATGAAAGGGAAGAACCTACAACCAGGAACACTCTACCCAGCAAGGCTCTCATTCAGATTTGACGGAGAAATCAAAAGCTTTACAGACAAGCAAAAGCTAAGAGAATTCAGCATCACCAGACCAGCTTTGCAACAAATGCTAAAGGAACTCCTCTAGGCAGGAAAGAGACTAGAAACTTAAAACAACCTTGTACATGTATAGTCTGCTATATCAAAACCTCATGGGAACAGCAAACCCCCAAACTACAATAGATACACACACAAAAAAGAAAAAGGAACCCAAGCACAACACTGAAGATGGTCATCAAACCACAAGAGAAGATAACAAAAGAGGATGGAAAGAAAAAGGACCTACCAAAAAAAAAAAAAAAAAGGTACTTCCCTGGTGGTCCAGTGGTAGAGAATCCACCTTCCAATGCAGGGGACACAGGTTCGATCCCTGGTCAGGGAACTAAGATCCCACATGCTGCGGGGGCAACTAAGCCCGCACGCCACAACTACTGAGCTCACAAGCCTCAACTAGAGAGCCTGCGTGCTGCAAACTACAGAGCCCATGCACTCCAGAACCCGCGCACCACAACTACAGAGCCCACGCACCCTGGAGCCTGAGTGCCACAACTAGCGAAGTGAAAACCAGCATGCCACAACTAGAAAGAAGCCTGCCCGTGGCAAGGAAGAGCCCGCACTCTGCAACTAAGACCTGACACAGCCAAAAAAAAAAAAAAAAAAAGACCTCGGATGTTCTAGGGAGGAAGGAGTGGCGATCAACAGACAGGGAGATGGGTGAGATTGTTAGGTCAAGGCTTCAGCGGGATGCAGAACACGGGGGCGTTTTGACAGATGATTCAGGCGTAGGGTCTACACGTCTTGATGATGTTTGGATTCTGGGTGTTGAGGGTATGGATGATGACTGTCAGTGGCGTTGCTGTTAAATAGGAGGGGAAATAAAGGCCAAGAAAGGGGTCAGGGCAGACTCAGGGGTCATGTTTAGAACAGTTGGTTGTGAAATCCAGGCAGCCATCGAGGTAGAGGTGTCGAATAAATTGTTGGAAACTTTGGGTCTGAAACTCTGCTGATGGTTGGGATTAAAGATGTTGGCTTGGAGCTGTTTGCATATGTGTGGGTGTCGATGTTACCCCTCAGGAGGCTCTGGGCCGGTGGACAAATCCCAGAGGGTGCCAGCCATGGGGCCAGCAAGCCCAAAGTCTAAATTAAAAAAGACAAGTGGAGACAAAGGCAGGCAGAGAGCAGGGGGAAAGCGTTTGGAGAATTGTGCACTCAGCTGTCACGGCGGGCTACAAGCGTTGAGGGGGACACAGAGTAGGCTGTAATACTGGTCCCGGGACAGAGTCATTGTCTGCGGTGTGGCAGAGCAGAGGGGTACTGAAAAGATGTTTTGATTGGGTTCTTAGCAGGGAGAGACTCCTCCTAACAGAGCCTTTATACTGGGGCTGTGGTTCCCAAACTTGAGCAGTGTCAGAGACACTGGAGGGCCTATGAAAGTGGCCAGAGGGTCCACGAGGCTCTGATGCAGCAGTTCGGGGCTGACCTGGGAATGGGCATTGCCCATGTTCCCCCAGTGATGCTGCTGCTGTTGGGGTATGGTACAGGGGTCCCCTCTGCTGCTGACAGTCAGATACGTCCTGGTCACCCCCAGCCTCCCCAGACACCCTCCCATCCACCTTCCAGCCCTCCTTTATTTTTTATTTTATTTATTTATTTTTGGCCACACTGTGTGGCATGCAGGATCTTAGTTCCCCAACCAGGGATCCAACCCGTGCCCCCTGCAGTGGAAGCGTGGAGTCTTAACCACTGGACCACCAGGGAAGTCCCCAGCCCTCCTTTATTGAATGTTAAATGCTTTCCTTGTGTCCAGCCTGGGGCTTTAACCATGACCAAAAGGCGCACCAGGCCTGCCCTCCCCAGGCTTAAATTGTTGGACAACACAGAGAGTTAAAAATTCTCCCTTGTGTTGAGAAATAGAGTGGGCTTCATTTGGTGTCTTTCAGAATGCAGAGCCAGAAGTTGTTTTGCATATAACTTTTCTTAAGTCCAACAACGCACTGGTCCCTCGGTTTACACCAATCACCCCATCATAACTGCCTGGGGGATTATAGGTGAAAGCCATTGTCTTTGCACAAAAGGGAATCAGCCACTCAAGAGAAGGCTGCCAGTAGTGAGGAAGTATTCTACAAAGGGGTGAGTCTTCTGTAGGACACCCTTTCATTGTCAAGTCAACCCCTATTTCTAGAACGTCTCTGCTTTCTGTTTACAACAAGGCTTTGACCCATGACGATTTATGCTGCATATCTAGACCTGCCTTGAAACGTTAAGGGTCTCATTCTTTTCCTTTTCTGCCCCAAAACATTCAGGTTGATGGCTTCACACACCTCTACACTCTGATTTTAAGACCAGACCTCACTTACGAAGTGAAAATTGATGGTCAGTCGATTGAATCCGGCAGCATAGAGTATGACTGGCAGCTCACATCACTGAAGAAAATGGAGAAGGCTTCAGCAGAGTCTAAGGACTGGGACCAGGCTACAGAGGGCAAATCCCAGGTGTGGATTTTTCCCGCAGAACTGCTAGAAAGTGTACAAGTGTAGTTCGTAAGTACCCAAGTACCGTACAACTGCTGCATGGCTGGGAATCATGATGACAGCATTACAACAATCAAAGTGCCCTCCTCAGAGCATATATGCTGAGACCAGCCACACAGGCTGCACACTTTGAGGTATTGTGAAAGAGTTAAAATATCTGAGATGAAAGCAAGTAGGGTTTGTTTTTGTAACCAATGTTTTTTTTTAAAAAAGGAAAATGTATCAGCAACCTTTATAAAAAAGATTTTCTTGTCATTCTGCATTTGAGCATAAGTATTTTTGATCATCATACTTGTGACTGCCAACCAAGAATCAATTATTGTAACAGGTATATATTAGTTTCCTAGGGCTGCCATAAAAAGGACCACAAACTGGGGGCTTGAAACAACAGAGATGTATTCTTTCAGTTCTTCTTGAAGCCAGAAGTCAGAAATCAGCAGGGCCGCACACTCCATCTGAAGGGTCTAGGGGAGAATCCTTCGCTTCTTCCAGCTTTTGGTGACCAAGCGTTCCTTGGCTGGTAGACACATCACTCCGATCTCTGCCTCCTTTTCCACATAGCCTTCTATTCTTTTTGTGTCTCTTCTTTCTCTTATAAGGACATTTGTCATTGGATTTAGGGCCTACCTGGATAATCCAGAATTATAGAATGACCTGTCTAGAGATCCTTACCTTAATTACATCTGCAAAGACCCTTTTTTCCTAATAAGGTCACATTCCCAGATTCTGAGACTTAGGACGTTGAGAAATCTTTTGGGGAACTCAACCTGCTATTAAGCTACTTTTTTTTTTCTATTTACGTTAGTCATTGTTGTAACATTTTTCTCTATACACCAAACATTATGCAAAAATGTAAGCTATTTATCTTAAGACAATTGTCTTTGCCATAACTGAGAGTACTGTAACTGATGTTTACAATTAATTTCTGGCAACTTAAAATACTAGTGGCATTGCTGTCTAATAGTCAAATACTTCATCATAGATGGAATGTAATTATGAAATTAAAATGGCATCTTGTTTAGACTTAAATTATTTGGCAGCCCTTTTCTTTCATAGATGATCAAAAGTAAACTTCCATGAATTTGGAATCCATGTGTCCAATCAATGAGAATGTCTTCAGATTAGAGTAAAATCCCAATCATATAAGGCTTCCCCATCATTTCTCAAGAAAAAGAAAAAAGGCGGGAAGTTTTACTCTCCCTTTCTTACCTTCAAACCAAAGTAAAAAAAGTAGTTTTTCACCTGGAAAGAGCATTTACTTTAAACAAGGTACAGAATGGCAAAGAAACTGACGCTGAGGCTCCCAAGCTCAGGAGATACGGGTCTTAGGACTGAAATCCTGGCTGCCTCTGGGCTACAAGGATGCCATCCTAGCAGTGCAGGTGTGCCTTGGTGCCGGGTGTACACGAGGCAGGTCCCCAGAGGAGCCAAATCATCCTTTCAGAAAGCTCGTTCCCAAACTGGCCGTGTTCTGTCCATATGTTCAGTTCTGTGTGATCTCCTAAACAGTGTGGTTCTTTATGGTGTTACCATTTGATAACCCTCATTATAAAGAGTCGGCTACTGACTGAGTTGTAATCATTTCCTGGATCCCAACACAAGACTGGCTCACCTGTTGCCAGTTGGGGTTGGGGCAGAGAGCAGTAGGAGAGATGATTAACTCCCATGTGCCATCGTTGAGAAGTTCTAGAGTAACGTGGAAAAGCCACAGTCTCAGTGCAACACTTTTACTATTTCTCAGTTATTCTGAAAGAGAAAACATCATTGTACACCATTTTTATGCTTTGATGTGTTTATCTGAATTATTATTAATCCAGAGCAAATTTTTCTCATCCATTCATTTATTCAACAAATATTTATTTGGGACTTCCCTGGCGGTCCAATGGTTAGGACTCCACTGCTTCCATTGCAGGTGGCATGGGTTGGATCCCTGGTAGGGGAACTAAAATCCTGCAAGCCGCAAGCCATGTGGTGGGGAAAGAAAGAAAGAAAGAAGGAGAGAGAGACAGAGAGAGAGAGAGAGAGAGAGAGAGCGAGGGAGGGAGGAAGAAAAAGAAAGAAAGCTCCATTTAAAAAAACGAAAAAAATATATTCAACACCTATTAAGTCACCTTCACATAGACATGTGTATATATGCATGTGTAGAAATATGTATATATGTGTATGTGTGTATATATGTATGTGTATATGTATACCTGTGTTTTATTTGTTAAGATTTATTATTTATTTATTTATTTTATTTATTATTACTGTTTTGGCTGCATCGGGTCTTAGTTGTGGCATGCAGGCTCTTCGTTGTGGTGTGCGGGCTTCTCTCTAGCTGTGGGGCACAGGTTCCAGAGCACGTGGGCTCTCTAGGTTGCAGCACATGGGCTCCAGTTGAGGCACGTGAGCTCAGTAGTTGTGGCACACGGACTTAGTTGCCCCGTGGCATGTGGGATCTTAGTTCCCTGACCAGGGATTGAACCCGCGTCCCCTGCATTGTAAGGTGGATTCTTTACCACTGGACCGCAAGGGAAGTCCCCTGTGTTTTATATATATGTGTATAGTGTGAGTATATATATAAGGGCTGAATAATACAACTGCTTTTCTCCTGCTACCTAGCAGTCCTCAGGTAAATCTTGGGACATTCCTTAGTTGTCCAGCCTCTCTCTGGAACAGTCCATATATGACCATGATGTAGAAGTACAGACTTAACCTAATCAGCAGTAAATATGGCCCGTCTTCCCAACATCACTTTTTGCCCCATCATTTTAACTTTGGCCACTGTTTCGAGTTTTCCACAGCACCGTTCCTCTCAACAGCATGGGAAGAGTGCTGTCATCATAGGTGCGGTTAGGGAGAAAAAGCAGGCAGTGCGTGGTCCTGAAGCCCCCGGTGAGGGAGGGAACCCCAGCACTTAGCCCTTTGACCATCAATTGGAGGAGGACACAGGGAAAAGTGCAACCAGGGTCACAGGTCTGCCCCTGCCTCTTGGGAGTTAAGAATTTCCTTTCTCAAATCTGAGAATCTAAATTTTTTCCCCCTACACATATTTTAAGGACTGGGAGAAGCACTTTCTGGATGCCAGGGCCAGCAAGCCGAGTGACTGGAACAGCGAACTGGATGGGGACTGGCAGGCGCCGATGCTGCAGAAGCCTCCATACCAAGTGCGTGGCATCTTCTTCCCTCCGTCCCCCTCCCCACCCGTGTCCCCAGGGTCGACCACATACAGTTTGTTGTTGCAGGATGGCCTGAAACCAGAGGGCATAGACAAAGATGTTTGGCTCCATCAGAAGATGAAAAACACCAATTATTTGACGGAATATGACCTCTCAGAATTTGAGAACATTGGTGCCATCGGACTGGAGCTTTGGCAGGTCACTTGGTTTTAAATTCGCTTTAGTTTAATAACTCTGGACTTCAGCTTAAACTCCTTAATTCACATAGCTAGTATTTGAGCTCCTGTTTTGTGCCGGGCACCCCTACCTGGACCCAAGACATACAGTCGTAGACAAAATGGACATCCTTCCTGCCTTGCTGCTCCCTGGGAATTCGCCTGGAGCTGACCTTGTGGTGCCTGTCAACTTTAGGATAAGGCTGAAGATTCAGATGTAGCATGTCCAGGGTGGAGCCTGAGATTCTGCATCCCCAGCAAGCTCCCTGGCGGTGCTGATGTTGCCCATCCATGGCTCACACTTTGCACAGGAAGGTTCTCGAGCATCGGTTCTCAAACATCGCTGAATGCTCGAGTCACTGGGGAGTTCTTGAAAGTCTCAGTGCCCCGGTGGTACCCCAGACCAGCTAAATCAACATCCCTGGGGGTGAGACCAGGCATCAGGAGTTTTTTTAAATGTTCTTGGTGGTCCCCATATGCAGCCAAGTTTGAGAACCAGTGCCCTGGAGGGAATAGATATTCTAGAAAAGGGTATCTGCATGTCCTACTATTGACAGCTAATCACTGTTACAGTACTGAGCAAATTACAACTGTTTATTTTGTGGAAAGTTTCATTTTTCACATCAGTAACGAAGGCCTTATTTTCATCCACAGGTGAGATCCGGAACCATCTTCGATAACTTCCTGATCACAGATGATGAAGAGTACGCTGAGACTTTTGGCAAGGCCACCTGGGGTGAAACCAAGGTACAATGAACACAATGAACTTTTCTTTCATAATTCAGTTATTTCTGTACTTAAGTCTCACATATAGGAAAAGGCTTGATGAATTTTTACTAATGAACACCCCACCCAGATCAAGATATAGGAGGTCGCCAGAGCTCCAGGAACCTCCTCACGATCCCTCCCGGCAAGCACCCACCCCCAAAGGAATAATGGTTCCACTTCCATCACTGTAGATGGATTTGACTCCTTTTGAAATTTATGTAAATGTAGCTACCCATTATTTATTCATTCAGGTAGTGTTGCAAAGTTCATTCATATTTTTGCATACAGCAGTAGCTTGTTCTTCCTTTGTGAATATTCCAGAAGGTATGTATCCATTCTCTGTGGATGCAGCTTTGGGATGCTTCCAGTTTGTGGCCTCATGGATAAAGCTGTTCCCATCATTCCTGTACATGTCTTTCAATGGACACATGCCCAGGAGTGGACAGGCTGGGTCACCAGTTCTTACACAAACGTTTTCAGTGTGTCATCCTGTTTACATTCCCTTCCTCATCGTGGAGAATTTCAATTGTGTCGCATCTTTGGCCATGCTAGGTATTACTGTCTGTTGTTGTTGATGAGTCAGTTTTATTGAAGTATAATTTACATACTGTGAAATGTACAGTTCTATGAATTCTGACAAACACATATAGTTATGAAACCACCACTAAAAATCAAGATGTACAACAGTTTCACCACCCCAAAAAGTCTCCTTGTAACCAAGCCCTCCCCTACTCCAGCAATCACTGATCTGATATCCGTCCTTATAGTATTTTTGAAGTATAGTTGATTTACAACGTTGTGTTAGTTTCAGGTGTACAGCAAAGTGATTTAGTTATAAATGTATATTCTTTTTCAGATTCAGAATATATATATACTTTTTCAGATTCTTTTCCATTATAGGTTATTGCAAGATATTGAATATAGTTCCCTGTGCTATACAGTAGGTCCTTGTTGTTTATGTCCCTATAGTTTTGCCTTTTCCAGAATGTCATATAAATGGAATCATATAGTATGGAGTCTTTTTGAGCCTGCTTCTCACACCAAGCGTAGTGTCTCCAAGATTCCTCCGTGTTGCTGAGGTTCACTCAGTAGTTTGTATCTTCTTATTACTGAGTAGTTTATCTGCTTACCAGCTGATGGACATTTGAGTTGTTTCCAATTTTTTTTCTTTTTTTTTTTGGCTGCACCACGGGGCATGCGGAATCTTTGTTCCCTGACCAGGGATCGAAGCCGCACCTCCTGCAGTGGCAGCAGTGGAGTCCTAATCACTGTACCACCAGGGAAGTCCCAGGGGTGTTTTCAGTTTTTAACAGTATGACCAAAGCTGCTATCAATGTTGTGTATAGTTTTTTTGTGTGGACGCGTGCTTTTATTTTTCTTGGGTAAATACCCAGGAGGGGGTTGCTGAGTTGTATGGTGTATCTTTAACTCTATGAGAAATTGCCAACCTGTTTCCAGAGGGGCTGCACTGTTTTTCAGTCTCCCCAGTCTCACCAGCACTGGGGACTGTGGGTTTCTATAGGTGTGTAGTGGTATCTCTGATTTTGTTTGCATTTCCCTGATGACGAATGAAGGTGGGTACTGTTTCATGGCTTTTGTGGCCATTTGGAGATCCTTTTCTGTGAAATACCTGTGTTTTAAGATGTAAGTTTTGTTATTATTCAGATATGGTGAGGCCAGCAGATCAGGAGATGACCTCCATCAAAAAGATGGTTTATTTTACTCACAGATCCCCAGAGGAGGGGCCACGCCATGCCATTCAGGGCCACATGGGGAAGCACCAGGTTTGGTCAGGAGGCAGAGGGAGAGTGTGAAAGATGTAGGCAAAAAACTTTGTTTTGGTTTTTTGCAGGAAGGAACAGATGAAGCTGGATAAGCAGGCTTAGGATTGGCTAGTTTTAAGAATTTCAGTGGGCCCTGGGGTACTAGTTGTCTAGTACCTGGCTGTGGGATAATTAAGGCAAGGAGAAATCAGCCCTGAATTGAGCCCAGTAGTGGAGGTCGTTAGGGATGTGAGCTCTGAATGTAGTTTCCATATGAAAAGAGTGCTTTTTGGCATTTACTATTTCTAAGAATGGGCCCCCTTGGAGGGGCCATCCCTCCTGGGTCAGCAAGGCCCCAGATATCAAAGCAAGAGAAACATATGGTTGATACAGCCTGTTTATGTCGCTTGCCCACTTTCGCATTGGGTTATTTGACCTTTTCTTATTTAGTTGTAGGTGTTCTTTATATATTCTGTCAAATTCTTTGTCAGATAAGTGCATTGTAAGTGTCCTTGACCACTCTGTGCTTTGCCTTTCTATTCCCTCAAGTGTGAAGCACTCCTGTATTTTTTTTTTTTTTAGTGTGTATTTTGAGGCCCCTATCCTGAGAAACCAACTTAAAAACTTAGCTCTGCCTTCACATGAAGAAGATAAAATATCTTCCATCAGTACAAATTCATTTATAACTCTTTGGAGCTAGAGTATTGACACTAAAATGTATGCTTTTAACGGGCATAAACGTTTTGTTTCTCATGTTGCTAAGCGCCAATAACTAAATGGTGGCGCCACTCACCCATAAGGAGAGAGTGGTCAGTGTCTTCTGGGAGTGCCATGACTGAGAGAGAAAGGTCTTAGAGGACCCTCCACACTGTTTTAGCCAGAAACTTTGGGTTGTTAAATTGCATGCCGGTGAGTTAAAATTAAGGGTGATACACAAAACATCTTACTGCTTTTAATCGAAATCTCCTCATTCCTTTATTTCCACTGATAAGGCATCTTCCATGTCATGTCCGTCACACTGGAACCAACTGCAAATCAGGTGCTTAAAATTTGAGGGCTTCCCTGGTGGTGCCGTGGTTGAGAGTCCGCCTGCCAATGCAGAGGACACGGGTTTGTGCCCCGGTCCGGGAAGATCCCACATGCCACAGAGCGGCTGGGCCCGTGAGCCATGGCCGCTGAGCCTGCGCGTCCGGAGCCTGTGCTCCGCAATGGGAGAGGCCACAACAGTGAGAGGCCCGCGTACCGCAAAAAAAAAAAAAAAATTGAACATTTTAAGGTATTTCAGGGGGAAATTTCCCCTCCACTGATGAAAGGTGGTTATCACTAAGTGATTTTCTCATGAGTCCTTTCTTCTGTTTTCCTTTTTTAAAAATTATTTATTTATTTATTTTGGCTGCACCGTGTCTTAGTTGTGGCAGGCAGGCTTCTTAGTTGTGGCATGCATGTGGGATCTAATTCCCCGACCAGGGATCGAACCCCAGGCCCCCTGAACTGGAAGCGCAGAGTCTTACCCACTGGACCACCAGGAACGTCCCGAGCCATTTCTTCTTGAATCTGATTTCTGCAGCAAAGCCTTCCTAAACTCTTTTTTCAGGAATGACTATGGGAAATTTCTTGACGTGTCTTCACTCATGTAACTCTTCTTTTAATCACACGTGTCTGGAATTGCTCATTCAGGCTCTGAGTCCTCTTCTCATTACTCATTCACTTGTCAGCTGGTTGAAGGACCGGCCCAGGTGCTCTGGGAATAGAAGAAGGAGGGTGTATTCATTTCCTGGGGCTGCCATAACAAATCACCACAAACTTGCTGGCTTAAAACATCACAAATGTATTCTCTCCAATTCTGGAGGCCAGAATTCCAAAATCAGTATCAATAGGCTGAAATCAAGGCATCAGCAGGGCCTTGCTCCCTCTAAAGGCTCTAGGGGAGAACACTTACTTCGCCTCTTGCAGCTTCTGATGGGTCCTGGTGCTCCTTGGTTTGTGGCCGCACCCTTCTAATCTTTGCTCCCATCTTCACATGTCCTTCTCCTCTTCTGTCTCTGTTTGTGTCAAATCTCCCTCTGCCCCTCTCTTATGAGAACATTATGATAGAATTTAACATCCACCTGATAATTCAGTAGAAATTCTTCATCTCAACGTGCTTAATTTAATCACATCTGCAAAGACCCTTTCCCCATAGGTATAAGGTTACATTTACAGGTTCCAGGAATTGGGACCTGATTACTGGGGGGTTCTTTTTCAGCCGACCCCCAGCTGGTGTGGAGGCTTCTAGAAGGCAGGGGCAGGCTGCATGATGACACCCAATCAGCCCACAGGAAGCATAATCCCCAGCTGCCGGGGTCTTTGTTTCTTTCTCCAGGGCCCAGAAAGGGAGATGGATGCCATACAGGCCAAGGAAGAAGAGAAGAAGGCCCGAGAGGAAGATGAGGACGAGAGGACGATGGGCAGGTTTGGTGGGAGAGAAAATATCTTCAAAGAATTCCACAAGAGGAATGAACTTTAATCATCCCCACCCCAGATAAAGATGACTGGTAAAACCTTGTTTCTACTTTAATCAACACTTAAAAGCTCAAATGTCTACATACGTGGTCATTTGTCTAATTTTCTTTGAAAAATGTTCCCATGCTTCTCGGTGGGATCGGTCTGGTTTTCCCCGAGCACCTTCCACCCCCTCCTCCCTTACCCCAGGTACCCAGAGACGTTTCCTTTGGACAAACCGAAGTGCTGGAGGAAGCCCGAGGCCAGTGAGAGTCTGGCCAAAAACACAATGCTCTTTTCTTAATCCCCCAAATGTTTTATAAATAAAAGGTGGTAAAACTTACCTTGAAAAAGGAGAAATGATGCTTTATTTCTTTGGGTTGTAAGTTACTAATAGCTTATGTGAAACTTTTCCAGTATGGAATCTTTATGCAGCATCGTTGGCGTGGAAAGGTGCACGCTGCTTATTCTGGAGAACCCAGGCCTTGTGCACAGATATTTAACATTCCATAAAGGAGCTTTTTCCCCCACTCTGTGACCCACTTCCATGGCCGTTAGTTCTCTGTAAGACAGAGGAATGAAATTCATTCTCTCAAGTGAAAATAGTGATTACTTCGCAGCTAAATTCTTTTCCTTAAATCAAATGACTTGCTTAAAAAAAAAAAAAAGCCACACATAGCAGCCTTCTGTTTTGAAGAGCTCTGTTTTCACGCAGAAATTTGTGTTGGAAATAATCAAATTTAGGACATCATGTTACAAATGAGCCAAATAAAATCGGAAATTATATAGAACGTATTGATAGATGATCAGTGTGAAAAGTCTGGCCAGGAAGTGAAGGTCTGGCAAATTTTGTTCTGGCTTTCGTTGAAGTTGGCAGACCTTCGACCTTGAACTTTTTCAAGGTCCTTCAATTTATTCAGCTGACAGTCACATTGGTCTTCCCAGTTTATCGGGGGTTATCAGTCTCAGAAGCTAAAGACTCACTCCCTGGAAGTGCAGGGGTGGGATTCAAACACTGCCCACCTTTTAAATCTCTGAACAAGGGGAGAAGTTAATGAAGGAAGAAGCAGTGCTAGACCTCGAGAGAAAATGCTGGAAACAATTGTACAAAATGGGTCAGACCAGCTCAGACCCTGCAGAACTCATCTTCCGCAGCAGTGCTGTCCTGGAGAACTTTCCTCATCTGTGCTGGCAATACAGTAGCCACTGGCCACATGTGAGGCCTTGACATGTGGCTGGTGGGACTGAAGAATGAATTTTATTTTTAGTTAATAAACTTCGTTTTCTAGAGCAGTTTTAGATTCCCAGCAAAACTGAGCAGAAAGTAGAGAGAGTTCCCATATACTGTCTATCCTCACACCCTCACACCCTCCCTTACAAATGACATCCCACACCACGGTGGTATGTTTGTCACAACTGATTGATGTGTCACATGGACACATCATTATCGCCCAGAGTCTGTACTGTGCATTAGGGTTCACTCTTGGTGTTGTGCCTTCTATGGAGGAACGAATTTTTAATCTTATTTTATTGTAACATTTATTATTTTTTCTTCCAGTTTTATTGATATATAATTGACATACAGCACTATGTAAGTTTAAGGTGTACAGCATAATGATTTGACTTACATACATCGTGAACTGATGACCACAATGAGTTTAGTGAACGTCCATCATCTCATATAGATAAAAAATTAAAGACATAGAAAGAATATATGTTTTCCTTTTACTGAGAACTCTTAGGATTTACTCCCAACAATTTTCATTATAACATACAACAGTCTTAATTATATTTATCATGTTGTACATCATATCCCTAGTACTTATTTATCTTATAACTGGAAGTTTGTACCTTTTGACTGCCTTCATCCAATTCCCCCCCCCATTCCCACCTCCTGCCTCTGGTAATGACAAATCTGATCTCTTTTTCTATGAGTTTGTTTCTTTTTGAAGTATAATTGGTCTACAACACTGTGTTAGTTCCTGTTCCACAGCATAGTGATTTGATATTTCTATACATTTCAAAATGAGAAATAAAGTCTTTACAGACGTAATCGAGTGATAATGACATCATTAAGGTGGGTCCTGATCCGATATGACTGGTATCCTTATAAGTGGGAAATTTGGACACAGAGACAGACATGTACAGAGGGAAGACCATGTAAAGATCCAGGGTGACACCATCTTCAAGCCAAGAAACACTGGAGGCTACCAGAAGCTTGGAAAGGGGCATGGAACAGATCCTCCCTTACAGAATTGTAACTGATTTAAATTTAAACTTACATTGCCATATGTGGCGAGGGGCCACTGTGTTGGACGGTGCAGCTTTAGACTCTGGGGAGAGAGGCCCCACAATGGCTGATTACTGCCCAGGGTGGCGGGCACAGTAGTAGAGGGAGTTCCAGGCCACTCTGCTGCTGGCCAGGTGAGACTCTCACCATTGAGCCTCTGGTTCCAGTCAAGACACGATAGTCTCCGTGGTTTTTGTTGCCCCTGTAGACTCTCGACAGCGAGGCTGGAAGCCTGCACAATTTTCCTAGACAACCTTGCCCATTAGTGCCCCATCACGTTCTGTGAGAAGGACATCAGAAGACGGGCAAAGAGGGGAAGCCATTTTTTCCAGGCTCCTGCCGGCACCTTAGGCAGTGGGGACAATAGTGGTGACTTTAGCAACAATGGCAGAAGCAGTGGTGGCCAGTGAGGACCGGTATCTGGGTTCCTGCTCAGGGCCCAGTGGTTGTGGGTTTGGGGTAACACCCTTTCCCTTTTGACTTTTAGTCCTAAAGAGGCTAGCAGCTTCCTACTGTTACTAATCTTAGGTAACCTTGTATTTCTCCTCTGTTTTCCCAATGCTTTTGCACTCAGTCTCCTGTTACAAATTGTCCTCTGTTTGAAATATCTAGGATGACTTCTCTTTTCCTTATGGAACATGGACCAATAAAGCACCCAAGGCAGCTAAAAGCCTCCATCACCCCCACCAGGACCACCACTGCATCTTTCCAGCTGTCCCACTTGCTTCCATCCATCCCCTCTCCATCCACTTTGCCTACCTTATCCAGAGCTGCTGTTCTAGAGCAGCTGTTCATGTTCAAAACCCTCTGGTGAGGGACTCCCTGGTGGACCCATGGTTAAGACTCTGCTCTCCCAATGCAGGGGCCCTGGGTTCAATCTCTGGTTGGGGGACTAAGATCCTGCATGCCGCACGGTGTGGCAAAAAAAAAAAAAAATCTTAAAAAAAACACACCCTCTGGTGGCCTCTCATTTCTCTTTGCACAGGGAACTGAGGAGCAAAGGAGCACCATGAGGCTGAAAACTTGGAGCTCGGAGAGCAAGGTGGTCTCAAGATGAGGCTGGATCACATGTGGTCTTATTTTATTGCTCTTCACACAGGGCTCTCCAATCAGACCATATGTAATCCAGCCTCATTTCAAGACCCTCTGTCTTGCTGTCTGAGTTCCAGAGCCTCAGTCTCAAAGTGCCTCATCGCTACTCAGCTTCTTCTGCTTGTGATGGTTCCGAGGCCCCACCGTCGCTGCAGTCAGGCTCAACCTTCAAGTGTCACACCATTGGACTACTCTGGAGCACTTATCACTGGTTATCTATTTCCTCATGTGATTTTTAAAAATCAATTATTTTTTTGGCTGCGTTGGGTTTTCGTTGCTGCGCGTAGGCTTTCTCTAGTTGCAGCGAGTGGGGGCTACTCTTCGTTGCGGTGCGCCAGCTTCTCACTGCAGTGGCTTCTCTTGTTGTGGAGCATGGTCTCTAGGCACGCGGGCTTCAGTAGTTGTGGCACACAGGCTCAGTAGTTGTGGCACACGGCTTAGTTGCTCCACGGCATGTGGGATCTTTCCCGGACCAGGGCTTGAACTCATGTCCCCTGCATTGGCAGGAGGATCCTTAACCACTGTGCCACCAGGGAAGTTCCTCCTCATGGGATTTTTTCATGTCTGTTTCCTTCCTCTAGACCTGTGGTTCTCACAATGGGGGGCCTGGGGACCAGCAGCCTCAGCACCTCCCGGGGATTTGTTAGAAATGCAAAAATCTCAGGCCCCACCCAGATCTGTAAACCAGAATCTGGAAACCTAGTCTACTTAACAAGTCTGGGTAGCTCCAGGGTGAGACCTGTTTGTGTAGAGTGTGTGTCTGCCTGGCCCACAAATGGAGCACCTGTACTCAATGACCATTTGATGGTGAATGGCTGTTGAATGAATCACAAAGCACACTGTGCTCATTTGAAGGGCACGAGGTATGTCAAGTCACTGAAGACACTGGAGCAAGCATCTGTGAGACTCCAGAGGGGAGGAGGTGGACAGGAAGCTGTGCCCTCACTACCCCAAGATCGCACAGCCTTCCAGCTTGTCTGCCTGAGAAGTGCCACCATCACAGGACACCAAGTAAGGGGAAGCTGACCCGTGCTGAAGAAACCTTGTGCCACTGTGGCCAGCTACTCAGCAGGACCTTCCTTCCTCATCCTTTTAGTGGAAACCGGCCACAGATGAGTGGGTGTCTATAGTAAAAAGAAGGCAAAACATGTCTAAACAAATAAATGTGCCTCCATAATGGTCCTCCAGCAAACACCAGGTGCCTGCTCTGTGCAGGGCTCAGCGTGAGGCATAGAGGTGGAACAATAGCAAACACATATTACCATTCCCTCTTTTCGGAAGAGGGGATTGGGGGCGCAGAGAGGCTACTTAAATGACTTGCCAAGATCACACAGCAAGAAAGTGGCCACACACACACACAGCTATCCTAGGAACAGGGCGCCTTGCTGGGCAGGGTGAGGGTCCCGACCCTCTGCCAGGTGGGCGACGGCCTCTGCATAGTGCTTTTGCCAGGCGCACGGCAATGGGAACAGCATCCCTAGAAAGAGGGCCCATCATCGGCTAGGACCCGGAGGGGTAAGGAACCTTGGCAGACGAGCCAAGGAATTGGGAAGGAGGTGGTGAAGGAGCGCGTGAACCACTCTGCAGAGGTCCCGGGCCCCGCCCCCTCCAGCTGGGGCTAGGCGCGCGCGGCCCCGCCCTCAACCCCCTCCCCTTCAGGCTCCGCTGAGCTTGGGCGGCCCTGCTTCGGCCCCGCCCTCTCCCGAGCCGGGCTGCGCGCGCACCGCCCCCCTCGCACCAGTGCGCACGCGCGGCCCCGCCCTGTTCCCCCGGCGCTCGGAGCCCGAGTCCGCGGGAAGATGGCGGCCCCGCTCATCCCCCTCTCCCAGCAGGTACGGGCTGGCTAGGAGGGCCCCCCGCCGCCCGTACGGGGCGCGAGGCGGACGCTGCGGGGAGGCCTAAGCGCGAGGAGGCCCAGCTGGGCGGCGGCGGCTCGCGCTGAGGGGCCCCGGCGGAGGGCGGGCGTGTGGT